TAAAGCCTCTGATGAGTGAAGAAGAGGACGAAGACGTTTGGATGGAAACATCATGAACATCTCAAACACAACGTCTGAGTTTAGTCTCTGGTTCATGTCGTTTACAGCCAGAAAGGACCTGTTGATCAGATTCTCTTTAAACCAGTCTTCTGGGCTGAGCTTCAGCTGCAGCTTCAGTGTGTTCGGGTTGTGTGAGTCTGTGACCAGCAGAGGGCGCCGTCGCCGTGACTCTTCTTGTGACATAAGCCAAAAATCCTCAGCTGCTGATTAATGTCTCGATAAGTAACAGGGAAGATCTCAGAGTTCACGGAGGTCGTCCGTCTGCTCTGTACCAGCTCTCAGATCAATAAACGATCGATCAGCGTTGATATCTGATCACAGTGACTGATTCCTCCTGAACATTCACGCCTTCTTCTTCTTCTTCTCCTTCTTTGTCTTGCAGTGTTTCGGCAGCGATGGGAAGCTGGTTCTACATTACTGTAAATCTCAGGCGTGGGGTTAACGGCCTCCTGCACACGTTGTTGTTGTTGTTGTTGTCTTTCAGTTTTTTATGTACATACACTGTAAATAAATTATTACGACAATGTTAAAAGCTCCTTCTGCTGTTTTTATTTTTGTTAAACTTCACATTTGACACCCAAACATCACCACTCAGGATTAATCTTTGCTCTGCTGCTTCTGATTAGAGGAAACAAAGCATAAGAAAAGAGTTGATTCACAGTTTTTTCTGTGTGAATGTTCAACATCTCGAAGGCTCGTCGTGATGCTGGAGGGTTTTCTGGAGGCTGAGAAGAGACAGACAGAAGAGAGGAGGCACCACAGTGGCAGATTAGAGGGATTACACGATTCAGGACGGGTTTTGTGACATAAATTCCCAAGAAAGACGGGAAACAGCGGAGCGGCGTTGGGACCGACGCTGCACCGCTCTGCTTCTATTGGCCGGCAGGATTACAGTGGTGGCGGAGGTGAGGCCAGCTGATGCACAGCAGGACGATGAGGAGGGTCGAGAGGCTGACATCAGGCTCTTAAGGAGCTTTTTGGTTCAGGGCTCCGGACCAAGGCGGAGATCACCGAGGATTGGAGGCGCAGTGGGACGACGGAGGACGAGAAGCAGGCGGTTGGTGGGTACCTGCACTTTGATTCTGTCATGTTGGTCGTAGAGATGCAGCTGTTCTGGTCATTTAGTTCTCATTTAATTTAGAAAAAGTCACATTTCTGTGATTGCAGTTTCTTCAATGTGGATACTTTCTGGTTTCTGTGACAGCAAACTGAATATTTCTGAGTTTTCATGCTGCTGTTCAGCACAAACAGCCTCATAATCCTGGTTAAAGACATTTAATAGTCAGATCCACCGTCTCTTTGACACCACATCTCCTTTTTAGCACATTGGAAGAATTATATGAACCTTAAATTTGACTTTTAGTAAATAAACCTGCGACAGGCATCAGCAAACTGCTGCATCAATTAATCAACTATTTGTATTCAACACAAACCATTTTGATAGTCGATTAATTAAACTCAGTCATTTTCTAAAATCAATATTGTGAATATTTTCTGGTTTCTTTCCTCCTTTATGACACTAAACTGAATATCTGTGGGTAAAACAAGACATTTTAGAGACCAAACAGCTGATCGATTAAAGACGACGAGCCGATTAACAGTTAAAACAATCATTGGTTGCAGCGACAAACACACGACTGCGCTACTTATTCAGCTATTTAAGTTGTTTTTAACAGCATTTCTAATTTTCTGCTGGTGTTAATTGGATGTCTGGATTAAAAAAAAGCAAAACAAAACGTCTTCCTGTGCTCTGGAAAATTATAATGAACATTATTTGTCCCTAAAATTAACTAAAATATATATTTTTAAACCCTTTGTTACTGTCTTTAAAATACAACAGAATTATTTTAGATTTTCTGGATTTGATCTAACTGACTTTCAAATATTTGGCTGATTGCAGGTTTTGTTTTTTTTTTGAATCAATAAAAATTCTGTGTATGCTTTTTGTCAGATGAAGACAAACGGCTGTAATTAAGGTAAAAATCTTGATTTAATTAGCCTGAAGTCTAATCACAAGGACAAACCTGATTATTAATGGTCTCTGTTTGCAATAAATGTTTTTTAAATAGAGCTGACTATAAAATAATAAGTAATTTGAGGGTGTTTATCACATTTACACGTCCTGTGCTGAAGTTTTCGGGGCTAAAAGCAAAGTGAGGACGTCATGAATAGCTTTTATTGATCAGTTAACGAATCGATCAGCAGCTGGCTGATGCACTCTGGTTGTTTCAGAGCTCAACGAATCTGTAGTTCTTTAAATTTCAGCCTTTTTTTATGTCAGAAAGCACATTTTCATTGATCAGTTTACGCCTAACACACGAGGACAACGAGCTCTAACTGCCTCTGTGTGTTAATTACGTCGTTAAATCACGTGTTTTGGTGTTGTGGACGTTGAATTCACCCGGTTTAACCCGCTGCCTCGCTCTGCGGCGGCGGACTGACGGAGGCTCAGGGCGGCTGCAGACGTGGTCAGAGTGCACTTCACACTAAAATACAAACAGATTAGAGCAGATTCTCGGGGATTACTGGCAAAAATTTCATTTAGATCTGTGGCTTATTCATAATTTCATCAAAAAAGTAATCTATTGTTTGTGCTCCCCTCCGTCTCGTCCGGCTGCAGCGTCGGGCCTGAAGGTGTTAATCAGGACCATATTAGCCTGAAGTTCACGTGGAGGACGGAGGAGGTCCACGTCTCCTCATGGCCTCCTGCTGCTGCCTCCGGACGCTGAGCTCCAGGATGTTCTGCCTCTCAGGTCAGCGGATGTTTGGCCACATCAGTTCCCACGGAGATCAGTCGCATCCCACATCCATCTGTCCGTCCTCAGCCCCCTCTGTGCTTCGTGCCACCTTCTAATCGCTCCACGCTTCCACCTCGTCAGCTGTCACGTCACATTCCTCGTTTTAAACCTGGCAGCTCATCACCTGTCGCAGCATCTGTCCCGGCCTCTCATCTGCAGTCCAAACCTCTTATTTCCACGTGCGGCCTCCCCCCTCCCTGTCCTCCCCTGCCTCCCCCGCCTCCCCCGTGGCCATGCTGGAGAACCTGTCCCGCCGGGCGCGCTCCCTGCTGTCCCTGACCCTCACCACTCTGGCCCTGGCCCTGTCCATCCTGGCCCTCTGCACCTCCTACTGGTGCGAAGGAACCCACAAGGTGGTGAAGCCGCTGTGCCTGTCGCCGGTCAAGATGAAGAACTGTGGGCAGAACAACAGCGAGCCGTACACCACAGGTAGGCCAGCATCCGGCACCATGTTGGTTCACATACATCGAATTTAAAAGTCACATTTTGAGGTTCACCTCCTTTCTGGTTTCATGCGTTGAGAGGTTCTCAGAGATGCTGCAGAGATAAAGTTTGACTCTCTGAACCCTAAATACATGCTGAGGGGTTTTAAAGTCAAAAGAAAATAAATCAGCTAAATTACACCTTTTATCAGCCAGAAACTGGAAAAATGTCCCAGTTGTCCTTAAACTAAACAGGATCCTCCACGACTGAGTCAGCTGTGAAACAGACAGAGTTCAGGTTGAACTGCAGGAAGTGTTTCCTCAGAGAGACTGAGAGGAAAATCCAACCTACTGGGTCAGAACCAGAGAACAGAGGAGCCAGTTGGTGGAGATACATTCAGCTGATGGTGGAACATCTTTCTACTGATGGTGGAACATCTTTCTACGGGTGATGAGAGGAAAAGGCTGGAGCGGCTATAAAAATAAAATATTTACATCCAAAGTGACTCAAAATTAACCTAAAATGACGAAAAAATTGTTCAAAATGTGATCATCTAAAAGGTTTAAAGAATAAAATAAGATGTGCTGAAGCAATAAAAGCACCAGGATGGATCATTTATCAGCCAGAACCTGTGAAAACAACGAGAATTTTCCACTTTCTAACTGTCCTTGAGCCACTAATGTGTGAGATCTGTTGGGAAGATGAACTAAATCTGAGCTGACTGCCTTATTCTTCACATCTCAATAAAAAAAAAAACCCAAAAGTGCTAAAAATGCACATTTGCTTCGTCAGATATTCCAGGTTTTTGTCTGTAAAACGTGTCCATTTCTGCTCCGTGTGCTGAGCGTGTTCCTGAAACACCAACATCGCATAAATACTTGAATAAATATATTTAGACTTCAGGTGAGCTGGTGCATCAGTGTCAGGTTGAGCTGCAAACTTATTCCTGCAGATAACATGTAAAAATGTTGTTCCAGGTGCAGCCTAAATGCTCCAGAGTTTATAAAAATCCCGCTTTAGTAGCTGTTTGGTTGAAAATTAACCACCATGCAGGAGAACGTTTGTGTTGCTGAATCTGTGCATCAGCGAGAACGAGGCCTCGGCCCACCTGAGTGGAAGGCAGGTGAAGCAGATCGGTTCTCAGCTGATTAATTCCAGGTTCTGCTGCGACACGTCCACGGTTTGTTGATCTGAAGCGTCTGTCAGACATCATGACGACGTTTTCTCGGCCGAACCTGACAGATGATCAGATCAGATGCCGTCGTCTCCTCTTCCACCAACGTGACTCCGGTTTAATCTGCTGAATCTGAACCCACAATGACATCTCTGCAACTTTATGAAAAACCTGCACAGCTGCTGCGATTTGGGAAAACAATCCCTTTAATTGTCTCCAGGAAAACAAACAACAACAACTTGTTTGTGGAGTTTAAGGAGGATCCTTTGTGCTCCATCCATGAGCTGCTTATCGACGCATCAAACACTGGAGAGAAAAAAGTAAAAATGTGGCACCAGAATAAAACATAAAAACAATAATGATAAAAAACTGTGAAGGTTATAGCAAATATCTGTTTTTAAAAAAAGAAAAAAAACATTTTCACTGATTTAAACACAATAAAACTGTTTAATTTACTGTCACACATTGTGAAAAAGCAAATACAGATTTTTAAAGAGGACAGTATGAATAGTTTTGTCCCTTTTGTTGTTGTTGTTTGTTTTTTCCAATTTACCAGATATTATCTGCAATTTAACAAAACCGAGAAAATCTGCAAAATAATATTTAAAAGATATTTAGAATTTTTCATTTCTGAAAATATCTATTTTTCTCTTAAATAACCGCAAATATCTGTTAAATGTTTATATTCTTAGCAGATTAAAATACAGTAAAACAGTCATTTTACAGTCAAATGTTGTAAATAAATGCACTGATTTTTTTTTTACAGAATGTGTAGTTTTCTACTTCAATCTGCGATTTTATGAAATATTATCTGTAAATTAACAAAACAGACAAAATCTATAAATCACATTTTAAAAAAGTATTTACCATTTTTTTAAACAATCTTAACATACATAATTTTTCATTCAAACAACATCAAAAATATTTAGAAATATTTATATTTTTAAATAAATTTTTAGGGGTTTTAAATACAGTAGAATGCTTTTTTAAAATTTTATGGTCAAACATTGCGTAATTAAAAACATAAATTAATAAATATTATAAAATTTAGCCTGTTTTTCCAGGCAGCAGATCAATTAATACTCTTATTCTGTCATTTTACACGTAGTCGCTGTGCGTACTTCTAGGATCTGTGCTTTTAATTGAGTCTGTCGTTTAACAAAACAGGGAAAAAACCAATAAAACAACATTTTCAAAAAGAATTTGGATTTTTTTTTCATTCTAAAGTTCATATTTTTTTCTTTCAAACAACAACAAATATCTGTAAAAAAAAATCTTTACAAATATAAAAAATATTTTAGCATTTAAATACAATAAAAAACTGTCATTTTACGGTCAAACGTTGCAAAAACAAATGACCATTTTAAAGACTTTTGATTATTTACAGTTTTAGGCGGTTTTTCTTTGCAGGTATCAGATCAATTAATGCTCTTATTCTGTTTACACGTACCTGTGTGCGCTTTGTTAGCATCTGTACTTTTAATTTCATCTCTACTTTATAAAAACAGGACAAATCAATAAATTTATTAACTTTTGTTTTTTCATCCAGAGTGAGATGCTGAACTGAGTCCTGCTGTCAGAGCAAAGCGAGATGTTTCATAATGAGTCTAATGTGTCCAGGTTCCCGTTACGTCACCCGTCTGCAGCTTGGTAGCTTTTCCTAAAAAGTGTTGGCCTTGACTCTTGAACCCGATTACACAGGTGTTGTGCCTCCTGATCTTTGGTACCTGGAACTAATCTGTCGGGATCAAACGACTGCCCTCGGTTTTAATGTCCTTTAATCTCTTTCTGCACCAACTTAATTATGGTCCGGTTTTAATCTGCGAGTGTGAAGGTGCTTTCAGACGCTCAGAGTTACGGTGACACCGGCTGCTCGCCGCTCATTATTCCCCCAAAAGGTTGGACATTTAATCCACACTGAGATTAACGGCAGGAAGAGTTCCATGATTGGAGGAACTTTGTGTTCTTGCACATCTGAGAAAACCTGGAAAACACACCGGCTGGTTCTGAACACGCCTTCATGTGTGTTTCATAACATCACAAACAAGTTCTGGTGGAACTAAAATGTTTTATTTTTATACCTAAAGAACGTTCTGAGGAGTTTAAAGTGAACTAAACCAGAACGTTTCTACATTCAGAGGACGTTTTGGAGACGTTGCTGTTGAGAAAGTTCTTCTGTAAAATGTCCAAACAAAGAGCACAGAGGAAGGACGTTCTCCATGCAACGTTTGGAGAATGTTTTCTGCATTAAGTTTTTGATTAATGCATTAATACTGCAGTAATTCAGCCACGTGTTGGAAGCAGAAACTGATTCTGAAGAAGAATAAAGACACAAAAAGTTCCTCCTCGCAAACGAAGAAGATCCTCTGCAGGTTCATCATGTATGAAACTCTGGAAGTGTGAAGGTGTCGGTCATGATGGCACCACGTTAGCATGTTAGCATAAATAAAAGGCTTGTTTTTAGTGTGTGTGGTCTGGTTAGCGTCCGTACACGAAGGTTTCCTCCCAAATCTTAAAAATACACATTTTGTCAACTTAAAATCAGTCATGAGCTCTCAGATGATCATTTATTCATGTGTTCATCTTCTGTTTGTAATCTGTTGCTTATGCGTTCAGCTGCTTTTTTTGTTTAGAGGAACTACATTCTGATGTGTTCAGAGTTCCACGCTGACCCATAAACTAAAGATCTCAGGTCCCATCAGGGTAAAGTGACGCCTCAGTTTGATCTCTACGAAGCTGATTCATGCAGATCTCAGAGTTTAAACGGTCCAAAACATCCACAACAAGTCAAAAGAACAGAATAGAATCAGTTTATTGTCATTGCACACCTTACAGAAACCATCGAGCAGCGTCGTGTCGGTGCATCACAGTCACACAGCTGGTTTTAAAGACGATTTAAAGTTTGTTCAGAACTCTGAAACCTGCAGCATCAGTTTGTGTTCACAGTATAAATAAACCAAACTCTTGTTGTTCTCAGATTTCTCTTCCTCACTGTAATAATGTGCTTTTATTCTCCATTTTGGACACAATGTTAAATATTAAATGTACCAGTGACCCAGCAGTGCATTTATTTCCTTATTTGATATTTAAGATAGAAGCTGCTTTAATATTTAATCCTCTTGTGAAGCTTTCTGTAGTTTTTTGTGTAAATTTGCAGCCAAACAGACAAACTGAAGGCGCCGATAAACGTCATTTAAACTCAGATGGATTTCAAACTAAACTCAGCTCGTGCTCATTCGAATGACGTCATTTTTAAAGTCGCCTTTCCAAAAACTTAAAATGTCTGGACGAATTCAGAAGGTCGAGGCTGCGTGTTCGAGGACACAAAGGACGTTCCAAGTTTTGACAATATGTTCAAATTCTAAAAAGCTCCGACCTGAACAAACATGAAAAAGCTAAAATCCGCTGAAGAAAACCTTCAGCGTCGCAGCTGTCAACTAAAAAACGTCTCAAATACAAATCAGTAAAACAATCCCTTCAATAGTGAAGAAAACCTTCAAAAGGTATTTTTTAAAGTGTAAACTACTAATAAAGTTGTGTTTTACTATCATTAAGTCATCAAAAGTACCTCTGACTGCCGAGGGAAGGCTGATTCCTCTACCTCAGGGTGTTTTAGTTGAACGTAATTTCATTAGAAGTTGTCAAAAAAGACAAACTGTTTGTTGAACCCAAACATTTGCATGTTGTGCATCAGAAAAAAAGTACCTCACACCAATCAGCGTCCACTTTAGTCGACGCTCAGAGTATCTGGTTCAGGTCTAATAACAAACGGATGAACCCAAAGGTCTTCTTCCTGCAGAGAGTCCCACTCAGAACCCCTTCAACCGGACCCTGTCTCCGGCCCGCAGAGAGGAACTGGCCAAGATCCGACAGCGGCAGCTGGCCAACGCCGTCCAGTACATCTGGGAGACGGGAGAGGACAAGTTCGCCTTCAGATATTTCCACACGGGCTTCTGGGAAAGCTGCGAAAAACACAGTGATGGTGAGACCGAATATAACCGACCCAGACTAACTCAGGCTTCGTGTTTCTGAACTTCTAACCGATGCATGTCTTCCAAATGTCGTCCTTCTGCAGGAGAGAAATGTCGCAGCTTTATAGAGTTAACTCCTGGAGAGACACAAGGTGAGACTCCTGATATAAAACCTACATAATCTGATTAAAAGATAAAGATAACTTTATTGATCCCACAGTGGGGAAAGTTCACTGTTACAACAGCTCCATAAAAAGTGTCCAGTCAGCGCAAGAATAGTTGGAACACCCAGTGCAAAGGGTAGGAAAGAAACAGAAACAGAAAAACAGAAAAAACAGAAAACACATGGTGCAAAAACTGCAAAAGAAAAAAACCTTAAATACAGAAGATGTTTTTGTTTGTTTGTTTTGTTTTGTTTTTAAAGAAGACTATATTCACCAGGATGAGGTAGTCATGGTTACTGCACATAGTGGGATGTGTTTGTTGGTGGATAAAGTGCAGTAGCAGAGGTACCAGAGGAACCAGAGGAGTCCACAGTGCAGCGTTATAAAGTCTGACTGCTGTTGGGATGAAGGACCTGCGGAAACGTTCCTTCTTACACTTTGGGTGAAGCAGTCTGTCGCTGAACACACTGCGTAAGGAGTTCACAGTCTGATGCAGAGGCTGGGAGGTGTTTCCTATGATGGCAGACAGTCTGGCCAGAGCCCTCCTGTCTCCCTCCACCTCCATGGAGTCCAGGAGCAGCCACAGACTGAGCTGGCTCAGTCTGCTCGTATCACGCTAAATTAATGGTTCTTTTACTGTTGGGTCGGTTCATGTTTTCTATACGGATGTGTGTTAAGTCTGCATGATGCATCGCTTCAGCATCAATTTCATGACGTGAAGCAAAGCAACTCAAACACAGCATCTGGATCTGCTGCTTGATGCAAAAAAAAAACAACTCACTTGGTTCTCAGAAATTAGTCTGATAGAACTTTAGTTACTCTGATTTAAGGCTTCTTTTTCAAAACTTTATTGAGCTGCAGCTCCACACGACCATCAACAGGAGAGAAACTCCAGGAAGGAAGATTTGGCTGCAAAGACAATTTGGTTGTATGGAATGAAAAAAGAATGATGTCGACTTAAAACAGGTTCTCTGTCACCATGTGAAGCAACGTGACGATTCATTTGATCAATTCAATCAGCGAAAGCTTCATAAGAGGTTAAAAACTATTCTGGAAGTCTTCACTTGAGTTACGCTATATGAGAAAGGCTGCTTGAGTTCCTTGAAGACGTTCCACCTTCATCCACGAGGCTTCATCAGCTCTGACTGGCTGGTTGGGAGTTCCACATACTGACATCCTGAAGGAGACGTTAACACCTGAGTTTTGGTTTGATTGAAACTGAAACTCAAGCATTAATGGCTTCTTAAAGATAGAAGTATCTGGATCTCCCAACTAGTCCGTCACAGCTGATGAAGCCTCTTGTATGAAGGTGGAACGTCTTCAAGGAACTCAAGCAGGTCCAGTTGCTCTGATTAATCTACGAGCATAACCATGACCTGGATGACTGAGAATCTGGTGTACCTACCTGTTGCAGGTGTTCTCTGGCTGTCGGTTATTTCCGAGTTCACGTACATCGGGCTGCTGGGGATGGGCTTCCTCCTGATGTGGCTGGAGGTCTTGTGCTCCCACAAAGAGATGCACTCGCTGAAAATCAACGCCTTCGCAGCCATCTGCACCGTGCTGTCAGGTAGGATGCGTTATTCCGTTCGTTTCATTCTCCGTGTCTGAGTTGACTGGATTTTGCTCATTCTGCCTCCTGTGCAGGTCTTCTGGGGATGGTGGCCCACATGATGTACACCACAGTGTTCCAGATGACGGTCATCGTCGGCCCCAAAGACTGGAGGCCTCAGTCCTGGGACTACGGCTGGTCGTTTGCGTAGGTGGCATCATCCGAGCCAGGCTTAAAATATGAGTTATTCACAGTCTTGCCTCGTGTCCTGACTGTTCTGAATCTCCTGCCTCTAGCCTTGCCTGGGTGTCCTTCAGCTGCTGCATGGGGGCCGCCGTGGTCACCCTCAACTCCTACACAAAGACCATCATCGAGCTCCGGCGCCGGCAGAGACTCCGACTGGAGGAAGCCAGAGCCGCCACCCATGCGCCGGCCTATGAGGAGGTGGTCACAGGCGGCGGGCTCTACTCCGTCAGCGGCCTGCTGCAGTGTCCGGACGGGATGATCGACGTGGCGTGGGCCCCGAACGGCGGCGTGGTCGGCAACGGAGACGTGCCGACGCTGGTGCTGGTTGGAGGCTGTGGACCGGAGGGCTGCGAGGACTGCGAGAGGGAGATGGACGAGATGGAGGAGGCCATGGACCGAGTCGACTCACCCTGTTAAGGTGTTCACCGGACCAAAACAGATCCTGGTGTTTCCTCACCTCCAGTTTGACCTCCAGTACTCCTGCGTATCCAGACTCATATCCAAAGCCCTGGAGAATGGTTTGCTGCACCTCATAATTTTTCTGCTATAGGAGTAAAAAAAAAAACTACCTGGCTTGTCTTTAAACCAATCATCTTGGGCGGCGCTAAGCCCAGGATGCAGTGATGGTGTCCCTGCAAAATAACATCAAGGGAAATGAGCCGAGCACTTTCAGCGTGTAGGTTGCTGCTCAAACGTTGTTGTTGTTTTCTGCAGTGAAAGGGAAGAAGGGGAGGAAACATACGACCGAACTTATACCCAAAGTCTATTTGTGGTGAGTTAGACCAGGGGATTAAATAAAAGGGCAGAAAAATCTGAAAAGGAAAGACGATATCAAACACACATCCTGGTGTTTCCTGTCCTAAAGTGTGACTTCCAGTA